AGATAGAGGGATTTTCCCAAACCACTGATGGTAGGCACACCCACCTTGAGGACCTCCCTCTTGTCCAGGTTCAGCCTCAGCCCATTTTCTTGCATCCATTGCAATACAGACCCCAGGCAGCGCTGCAGGGACAGAACGGCATCCACTGTAGTTGGCAAAAAGGAGATGTAGAGCTGTGTGTCATCGGCATATTGATGGCATGATTCTCCACACCCCTGATAACCTCTCCCAGTGGCCTCGTATAGATGTTAAACAGCATTGGGGAGATGGTCGAACCCTGCAGAACCCCACAATTGAGGCTCCACGGGGCTAACTCATGCTCCCCAAGCTGAACTCTCTGAGGACGGTCCCCCAGGAAGGACCGGAGCCAGGCCAACGCCTGACCCCCAATTCCCAACTCAGAGACCCTCAGGAGGATACCGTGGTCGACGGTACCAAAGGCAGCTGAGATATCGAGGAGGACCAGCAGAGAAGTTTTTCCCCTGTCGGCCTCCCTCAAGAGGTCATCTAACAGGGCAACCAATGCCATTTCTGTACCATGGCACGGCCTGAAGCCCGACTGAAACGGATCCAGGGCATTTGTTTCATCCAAGCGTGCCTGAAGCTAATCGGCCACCGCCCTCTCGACCACTTTACTCATGAAAGGAACATTGGCGATGGGCCTATAATTGCCAATATCGTCCAACGCCAAGTTGTTTCTTTTGAATGGGCCTAATGAGTGTCTCCTTGAGGGCAGGGAGAAACCTCCCCTCCTGGAGAGACCCATTAATTATCGCTATAGCCCATTCGGTTGTTATAGGCCTGGCTGCTTTGATTAGCCGGGCAAACTAGCGCCTTGTCCACAATATCAGGTGTCACAGGTTGAAAGTGGTCAAAACTCACTGGGCAAGGTGGAGCACTGGACATCTCTGCTCGATCCACTGTAATCAAAAAAGGATAAAGCTCCCGGTGGATGGCCTTCACTTTAGATTTTTTAAATGCTGCAAATTGGTCAGGCGAGATACTAGGGGGAGGCTCTTCACCCTGACCAATTCTGGATAGGTCGCAAACTATACGGAAAATTTCCGCCTGCTGATTTGAGGCCTCGCTTATCCAATCAGGTGAACTCAACTAGCAGCCCTTATCTTGGCCAGATAAAGGTTAGTTGTGGCCCTAACAGCTTCTCTATTATACTCCGTCAGTTTCTTTCTCCACTTGCTCTCTAGCGTTCTCCTAATTTGCTTCATTGCTCGTAGCTCCTGGTTATACCAGGGCGCTGGACAAGCTCTGCATTGGAGAGGGCGTTTAGGAGCGATCGTGTCTACAGCCCTAGTGGCGGCCTTAGCCCAACCATCCACCAGAGCCTCGACAGGAGCGCCAACCAGATCTGCCGGTATCCCACTCATGGTATCCTGGAATCTTATAGGATCGGCTGATCTGGTTACCTCAGTCCTGACAGTTGGTCAGGGTCCCAGAACAGTTAACAGCTTTCAAGCATCTGCTCGCTGTTCTTCTGACACAAGTAGGGGCCCTGCCAATGCCGTATCTCCCTCTACCTGTAATCACTCGGATGTTCAGTGGCCCCTCACTGGGAGGGCAAGCCTTCCACTCCATAGAATTAACCGAAATAACTTAAAGTGCAGATAATTCAGATAAAAAGACATAAAACAATTTATGATCAAGTAACCTAAGAGAACAGAAAACAAATTCAGCAAATAAATTGACCTACAATAAAATAAAATAAAAAATATGTAATAAAATATTAAATAATAATTATTTAATAATAAAATTAAATAATATAAGCAATAGTATAATCAATAAACTAAATAGTGTATTAAAGTATTTACAGTGAAAGATACCCGCACTTCCTCTCACATACTGTACAATAAGCTAACTAAAAAATAAAATAATATAAATAAAGACACAAAAAATTTAAACCCAATTCCCCCCCCTCGCTGTCCTGTTCCTTCATGTTTGAATGCTTGTGGGGCTGATTTTATAGCTGTAGAGTGCTTCTGTGGTGGA